CCACTAGCTATCTACAACAGGTAAGATGTTATTTGTCCACAACCTTTTCACAGAACCCCACTATGAAAGACCTGAACTATCATTTTACTGCATTGTTTTATAGAAATACTCAGTTATCTTTGATCTATTATTAGGACATGAAACAGTTTGAACTCCTGCCACAGTTTTCCTAACCTTTATAAGGATTAGCCAAAATAAGCAACATTTGTGTCCTTTAAAAAAAACAACAACAAAAAAAATCTACCTTTCACGTGAAACAAAGCTTTGGGCGTTAGACAGAAATGTCCCCCTTGCCTTTCTCCTGCAAACACACTTGTGGGCATGTGCACGTACTCCCAAACACACACTCTGCCTTTGTGTATGCTAGACAGCAGATGGGAGCCCATTATGGGGCTGACAGAGCAGTCATCTGGCAGGCAACCAGTCTCCCCCCACCTTACCCCACACCCCTCCCCTGCCCCCTAAAAAGGCAACCAACACAACGGAGCAGGGATGAGAGCATTTAGGCGGGAGACCCAACTGGATTCTGTTTTTTTTACTCATATAGGTCATTTTTTCCACTGTTGCACGTGCCAGTCCCTGTTGGGACTGGTCAGGCTCACGTACAGCTGAATAATAAATGAAAGTGACTCTAATCCAGCGAGAGATAGTTCTGATCACTTAATCTGTGTCATTTTCAGCCTCCTCCATTCTTGCGAATGTGTCAAAATTTAAAAATGCAAGGTGGTCATTGTGAGCTCCGCTCACAGAAAGGCTCCCTCCTCGTTTTTAATCCTTGCAACACTTTCCTGTCCAAGACATGCCTCCCGGACACCGGCCCCAAAGCGAATGGCTCCTGCAGCTTCACGACAAAGGATTATAAGTATCAAGCAGTGGAGGAGGGGGTGGGGGGCTCCTGTGGATGTCAAGGCCTAGGTTGGGTCTGCATCTGCTGTTTGTATCTGCGGTCCTCTAGTATTTGGAGATGGACGTTCTCAGAGGCGCCCTAGAAGACGTGAGACTTCTCAGCGCTGCTTCTGCGTTGCCAGGACGACCAGCACAATCCCTGCTACTTTTGGCGAGTCTTTTAGCTTCTTTTGTGTTATGTTTATTTATTTATTATTCATATTCAAGTCCTTCAGGACTGGTGGACAAGGAGGCTGAACAGGCAATCATTAGAAAACATCAAATGTTTTATGTACGAAACACCATTTTTAGCACTGTGGATGTCACTGCATGGACTCAGGAACACTTCAAATCATTGTCTGCAAACACAGACCCCATTCCTCCCATAAATGCTGATTAAAGCTCTATCGTGCAGGGAAGACTGAGGCAAAGTGGAAAAATGTTCTGTGGTCAGACTTATTGAAATTATTTTTAGGAACCACCATATTTGTACTAAAGAAGAGAGGGACCATATGGTTTGGTATCATTTCACAGTTCATAAGCGTGCTTCTCTGATGTTATGGGGGTGCATTAGTGTCTCTGATATAGGCCTCTTATACATGTACACCATCAGCGAAGAAAAGAAAATACAGGTTTTAGAGCATCTGCTCCCAGAGTCAAATCTGACAAGAATGAGACACTTCCTTCTATAACAGGGGTAGCCAAACGTTTTCATATATGAGCTAAAACTATCAAGATGAAAGGCTCATGGGCCACAAAAATGTAAATTTAATTCAACGTGAACAATATTTTAGAGAAAGGACAAGGAGAAATAGTTTTAAATCCTTGTAGATCCAAAACTTTAAAAGCCTCATAAACACTAAGCTTATATATTTTTATTTAAAATTATTTGATGTATTTGATTTGTTGGGTCTGTGTTTGTTGTTTTCTTGTGTTTTCATTTTACTCTGTTCTCAGCAATAAAAGCATAATTCGTGTAAGTGTCCTTTTAAAAGGGGGTCGTCCTTTAAAAATCGTCCAGCTGGCAGTTGCTACAACAGATTCAAAGAAGGTTTGATAAAGTTGATCAACTCGTATGTAATGACACCACGTTATATTCATTAAAAATGTCCAGTTTCTCTCTTGATTATTTAATCAACTGCAATATTTAGCCAAGTTTTAGGAATCATTATCCAAAAGTCTCCTTTCCGGTAGAAATCAGTTATGGAACACACAGAATCACTGCAAGGGCCGCAAATGGCCCTCGGGCCGCACTTTGGAAACCCATGCTCTAAAACCTCCAGCTGCTGGTTCCCTCAAAAGTTTAAGAAATTGCACCTTTATGTAATACAAAGGGTGTTTTTTGTTAGATAAATAAAAATCCTATTATCATCTATTTACTCATAATAAGCACTCTGAGGACACGAGAAGATTTTTAACCAGTTTTACTTGCAAGGACTCATTTAAAACAGACACAGATATACAATGCATGGATCATGTCACATAATGAGCATCGAACAGACTTTGCAGCACACTTTTATACAGCAGCAGAGTCCAGCATAGCCAGCTGCAGACAGATCCATGGCTGTCGCCTATAATCCAGTGGGTTCCTAACCCTGGTCCTTGAGGAACACCATCCTGCATGTTTTAGTTGTTTCTCTGCTCCAACACACCTGATTCAGTGATTTAATTACGTCCTTAAGTTTGGCAGAAGCTCGTTAATCACTCAAATCAGGTGTGATGGGGCTGAGGAACAACTAAAACATGAAGGATGGTGTTCCTCAGGGAGCAGTGTTGGGAACCACCGGGCTAGTTGACCTCCAGCTGGAGTTAAGAGAACGTTTTGGGCAAGTTCTCAGCTGTACCATAACTAAAAGTTTCATAACATAAATTCTCAAACTGTTTTAAATTTCATGGCAGAATTTCTCAGTTTCAACATTCGGTATGTTTACTTTGTTTCATTGTGAACTAAATATGAGCTTAAAAGACTAATAAACACTTATGAAGCATTCGCACCATTGTGATCCATTTTTCTTCATGTTTTTCAGCATTTTTCTCGTTCCACAATTTTTGTTCTATTTCAACAAATCATACAGCGAAACGTTCAGCTCATTCAGGAGAAGGGTGCTGTGACTTTTGGTATAGCTTTTAGAAATATTTAGCCTTTTATGAAATTTTTTTTCATAGAAAATGAATTGAGCTCATTTTACATCCTGCAAATCTTTAGATCTGTTTACAACATTTTACTGCTCCTTTCACATTTTGTTTTGGTTCAGCTTCTCTCAGCGTTTTTGTGCTCCTTTCAGGCTTTCTGCCAACTACAATGTTTTTGTGCTTCTTCCAAATTCTTTTTGCTAATTTCAACTTATTTTTGCAAGCTTCAGCTTTTTCTTCTACTTCAGCTACTATTTAGCTGTTTTGTGCTAATTTTAGCTTTTTTGACTAATTCCATATTTTTTGCACTCATTTCAACTTTTTTCAGCCTAATTCAGCAAAAATGTGTTCTCTCTACTTCTGGTAATTTCAGCTTCTTTCTGCTTTTTTAGCTAATTTTCAGCTGTTTTTCTTCTAATTTAAGCTTTTTTCACAGCCATCTCTTTTAGTTTCTTTTGTGTAGTTTTAGCTTTTTCTGCTAATTCCACTTTTTTTTTTTTTAAGCTCATTTCGGTTCTTTCCACTTCCTTCTGATAGTTTAAGCTTGTTTTGGCCTTTTCAGCTATTTTTTTTTTGCTAATTTCAGCTTTTTTTTATCTGATTTCCTATGTTATGTGCTCATTTCGGCTCCTTTAAACCAGTTTCAGTAAATATGTGTTCTTTCTGCTAATTTAGGCTTGTTGTTCCACTTCAGCTACAATTCAGAATGTTGATCTAAATGTTTTTTTAAACTTATTTCAGCTGTTTTTCAGTAAGTTCTTCTGCAATAAGCATTCACACTGCATGTTCACAGGAAATGTAATTTCTCTAGTTAACTATTGCATTCCGTGTTTTTGTACATTTTTCACACCCTCCCAGCATTTTTGGAATTGTTTTAGCAAAACATAAAAACAATAAAGCCAGAAATGGTTTTATTGTCATTGCAACAACTTGCATAAAACTGTACATCACAAAAACTGCACAGTTTTGCCAGCGTTGTTTACATTATGCATTTTAACGTCAGGTACACTTCATGTACAAGTACACATCAGGGTGGTTAGGACTAATTTCAGAAGCTAGCCCAGCTAATCCCCAGAGCATCCTCCCTCCCTCTCCTGCAAGGTAAACTCTGCTCAGCCACCCGGGATGAAGAAAAAGCCTCCTCAGTCGCCTTGGAAGGCCCCGTTGGCGACTCCCCTGCAGGCGCCCTTTTTCCAGCACTTGAACCAGATCCTGCGGAGCAAACTCAGAGATCTGTGTATCTGAGGGCGGGAGGCCGTGGGCTGGGGCAAGGAGCTCTGGGGCCTCTGTACCAGGAAGGGACCCTCACGCTCAGCCTGGCCAACATCCAGCCTCGCTCCTCCTCCGCCTCCCCTCCTGGGGGGGACAAAGAGGAAATAACAAACACAAAGGCCCTGTTTATTCCTTATGACCTCAATTTCTCTGCCAGCAATCAAGGACAGGCACGGAGCTGTGCGACGTGTGTATTTACTCCTGTTTAAACACACTTTGTGACATTCTTTAAAATGTAACTCCCCCACTTCAAGACTAACGCCGCATAATTTGACCTAAATTGATCATAAATAAAACATTTTACGTCTAATAATCAGACTTATTGGAATATTCAAATTAATTTCCAGAGGAAAAAAGGCTGAATTTTTTCACCTCTCACTTCTATAAGCTGCGACTGACTTTGTGTGCGTGTGCGTTCGGGGGCGTTGGCAATCAGTGTGCTTTGTTATCTAATGAGAGGCGAGCGGGGCCACCTGTTCAGGGGTCTCTAGGCGGGGAAGAGTGGGATGAGGTTTGGAGATGGGGGGGGGGGGGGGGGGGGGGGGAACAACAGCCGGTTGATGGCGCAGGGAATACCCACGTCCCCAAGGGGGGGGGGGGGGGGGGGGGTGGGGGGGGGGGTTGTGGAGAACATCTGCCGGATGCTGAGCGCGTGGACCTGCTGTGCAGACGTGTGTGGAGGGGGGTGAATGTGTTTGGTGATGTGTTTACTTTCCATACATGCTGCGTTCACTGTCCACCGCTGGGGTCCTCGGAGACGAGCCCCTTCGCAGGCCTTTAGGAGGCTCAACGGCCTGCGAAGGAAACCAGGATGAGGTAACTGAAGGCCTTCTGCAGTAGATAATACTCCTAAATGCTGCAGCTTGCCAAGGACCATGTGGACAAATAAAGTTATAAATGATAACTTCTGATCTTTGTGCACCTCTCACGCTGCATTCATGAACTCATTCATGCAGCCAACAGACCTGGCTCAGCTCCATCACACAAGAGGGGGGGAAGTAGCCCCACCGGCCGTCCTGCAGCCGCCCGAGCCACCTCTCCTCCTCAGGCCTGGACAGAACCAGGATGACGTCTTCTGCGGACAGAGCCAGCTCGTCCTGCCAGCGGGGCCTGGAGCTGTGCACCACCTCCATCTAATGAGCACAGACAGAACTACAGTTACTCCAGGTGCTCAGGAACATCTCAACTTAAACCATTCGTTGTTTCACTTAATGCACCCAAATATGGGCTGTGCTTCTCGTAAACTTTAAATAAATTAAACTGACTGATTTTACTTAACATTAAGAGACACGCTCATCAGTTTTAAGTCGACTTTTCTTAATAGTCTGAATGTTTAGTCACACTATTGTGATCTATTTATCTTCTGTAGGTTTTTCAGCAACTTTCTAATGCCACAATTTTTGTGCTATTTCAACAAATCACCAGAATGTTCAGCTCTTTTAGGAGAATCCTGCTATGACTTTTGGTATTGGTGCAACTTTAGCTTTTTGAAATATTTAGCCTTTTCTGCCACTTTTTTCATAGTAAATGATTTAAGCTCATTTTTCGTCCTTCAAATCTTTAGATCTGCTTACAGTCTTTTACTGCTCCTTTCACGTTTTGTTCTGCTTCAGCTTCGTTCAGCTTCCTTGTTCACGTTTAAACTTTTTTTTCAGCTACTTTCAGCTGTTTTTTGATCCTTTCAGATTCTTTCTGCTAACTACAACATTGTTGTGCTCCTCCTAACTTCTTTCTGCTAATTTCAGCTTATTATGCTCCTTTCAGCTTGTTTCTGCTAGTTTCAGCTTTTTCTACTATTTCAGCTACGATTTAGTGGTTTTTATGCTAATTTTAAACTTTTCAGCTAATTATATTGTAATAATTTCAACTTTTTTCAGCCTAATTCAGCAAAAATGTGCTCTCTCCACTTTTTTCTAGTAATTTAGGTTTCTTCCTACGTTTCTGCTGGGGTTTTTTTGTGTGCAAATTTCAGCTTTTTTCAGACAATTTCCACTTGTGTTCATTTCGGCTTCTTTCAGCCTAATTGGGCAAACACGTTCTTCAGCTAATTTAAGCTTGTTCTAACTTTTCAGCTGCATTTTAGCATTTTATAGCTAATTTCAGCTGTTTAAAGATAAATTAAGTTTTTTATGTTAATTTCTGCTACTTTCTACCTAATTAACATCTTTATGGTAATTTCAGCTCCTTTCAACTTTTTTCTGCAAGTTTCAGGTTTTTTTTTTGCTCTTTCAGCTACTATTTAGCTCTTTTAATGCTAATTTTACTTTTTTGGCTAATTCCATTTGTTTAGCTCATTTCAGCTCTTTCTGCTTAGGAGTTTAAGCTTCTTCCTGCCTTTTCAGCTACTTTTGCTGTTGTTGCTAATTTCAGCCCTTTTTTTTAGCTAATTTTCAAATTTTTGTGCTAATTTCTTCTTATTTAAATCTAATTCAGCCAATATTTGTTCTGTCTGCTTTATTCTGTTAATGTATGTTTGTTCTTCCATTTCAGCTACATTTCAGAATGATTTTTTTGCTAATTTCAGCTGTTTTTCAGCAAGTTCTTCTGCAATAAGCATTCACACTCCTTTTTTCACAGGAAATGTAGTTTCTCTACTTCCACATTAAATTAAGATCTTGCAGGATGTGTTAGAGCTCAACGCATGTGTTGAGGATGACCGTCAGCTACTACCACGTCAAATTTTAGCACAATATCTAAGAAACAGACAGCGCTATAGCCATTTTTGTGTTGGCTAATGTTGATTAGCTGTGGTGGCCATCTTGATTTGGATTGACTCCAAAAGTTAACCAGTTGTAGATGTGCATCGAATGATTAACTCCTGAAAGTCTTACTTGACTCCATACAGTGGTTCACAAAATATTTTGCTAACAGACAGAAACACTCACGTGAGCAAAAACATTATAATCCTGAACTGAAAATGCATCTTTTACCTGCTCGACAGTAAGAAGAGATAAACTTGCCTTTTCAGCTTCGGCTCTGTATCGACGCCTCCCTGTTGAACCATTTAAAGAGAAATTGATCAGCAGAAGAAATACGGGTCATCTTGACGTCTGCCATGAACGGACGTGTGCAAAAGACAGGGTGAGATAAATGAAGTCCCTGAACTCACCTTGAGGAGCGAGGACGGTGGTGAAGACTTCAAAATGCTCGTTTCTGCGTGTGTAGATCTGCTGCATGGCGACGATTCAGCTCCTGCACACCACCTCAGCTGCAGCACACTAACCCACTGCGCCACTGCACCACACTCGCATTCTGCAGAAACTGCAAAACGGCTTCGTCATTTATTTCAAAGCGACATTTCATTATTTTTAGCTCAGCAGGGGGAGATAAACTGCTCTTTGACCACATGGTCACGTTTGGAGGCCTCGTCGTTTCATCTCATCAGCAGGACGTGATTGATTCAGATTTATTGACTCGTGGCCCATTTTTCGGCGGCACGCGCATGAGCGGGAACAAAGACGGCTCAACAGATGGTGGCTGAAACCCCCAACACCTCCCCTTCGTTTTACTGCTGCGATTAAAAAGCATTCATCAATCACGAGTCGCCAATCAGCCGAAGAATCGCAGCTAAAGTTGTTGGCATTATCCGTTTTATTTACCCAATATCGTCATAAATCAGAAATAATGCAGTCAGGATTAATTCAGACCTGAGCAGGAAGTGGTGCCCAAAAAAGGAAACGGCTTTAAGTGGATTTGACCTGGTGAAAATGTTCAAAATGCTCCGCAACAGAGCGACGGTGCAAATCCTGGTTTTGGCTGCTATCTGTTCCAGCCTGAACACATTTAGCTTTTAGCTGTTTTTACTGCTGAGACAGTCTGAGGGGAAATACAAGAACATCACGTTCTATGGGATTTCATTAAAATACATCGGGTCAGATCCTTCGCCGAACTGCTTCAGAAGTTTGATCTAAAGAAACACAATAAATGAACGAACGAGTGAATTATTCGACTTTAATCTACTCCCGGATCAGATTTGAGCTTTGCAGCTATTTTATCTCCATAGAACAGCAGCTTTTATTGTTAACATTTATAAACTCTGGTTTTCTGCTTTTTCAGGATTGTTTGTGTATTTGTGAGACGTGCTGACGTTCAGAACGAGCGCAGGCTGCAGCGCAAGACCAGTGAAAATATTGAATTTTGCTGCAACGGTGAAAAAATGAGCTCGTAAAGACGCAATCTAGCAATCCCAGCGAGTAAAATACCATATAATCCTCCTAATCTACCTTTGGATTAAAGTTTTCTAACAGGTGTGTCATCAAAATTGATTCTTTGCTTTGCAACAATCAAAATGGACTTTTCTTTGCTGGGAAATCCCTTCGTATAATGCATGGCGTCATTGCGAAGCTTGGGAATAGAGGTGTAATTTCTGAAATTATTCCAAAATAAAAATGTATGCCTTTGAGGTAGAACAAAATTAAACGTGCTCACTAGTTTTTATGGATTTTGTTAAATTTTATATGTATATATATATAAAAAAAAAAATCCTGAACCGTTGTGCAAATTATCCCTTCAGTAAAAACTTATTCTGGATTTCATCTCGTTTATATTTTAAAATAAAAACATTTCTAAACACTTGATGTAAAGTTATTATTATAAGCTGCTCGTGTATTTTTTTCCAAAATGAATAAAACAGTAAAAACCTATATCATAAATCAACGTTCAGTAGCGTAATGTTTGTTGAAGATTTAACAGTGATAAAAAAATAAAAAAAAAAGACACCCGTCCCAGTGTTTAGAATCAAATTTAGTAGTTTAAAGTATTTCAATCTTTTGTAATTTTAACAAATAGTCAAATGATAAAAAGAAAAATCTTGACACTTTACAATTTTTGAAGACAAATGCTGCTTGGTGACAACAGAAGACATAAACACATCAAATAATAAAAGCAGATATTTGTACTTAAACAGCCGTCACAAGGGTTCTTTATCATAAAGATACATGACTCACCTCTAATCAAACAGAAAGAACTTTAAAGAATTACTTACGATGCTTGTTTTACCAAAGTAATGACTCAAGAGTTTGGCTCTAAATTGTTCCAATATAAAAATAGATTAATGCAGCCACAACACACGTTTATAAAACTCTTTAGCAAAGTTGTGCATTTATGAGAAAAATAGTTTAAATTTGTCACTGAATGACACATCACTGTAATGCCACTTTTATCCGTGCTGCTGATTATCCATGCTGCTGATCTCTTGCCTTTAAGCTGCTGTATTCAAACCCATCCGCTCACTCCAAACTCGTGTTCAGGCTGCTGTTTAACACGCCGCATTATACTACATTATTATTGTTCACAATATATCTTTTGTATACCGTTTCTTCTTATACTTTATATATTTTTGGGTGGAACTGGGACCTTCAGTACACAATTTCCTTCCACCTCATGTACCACGTGATGCAAATGACACTTCTTTAAAAGAACCTTGAAATAAAAACAAAAGCTGACGGTCACACAGATGTTAAAGTGTATTTCAGAGTTTTGACATGTTCACAGCAGAACCCAGTCCTACTCATGGGGGGGGGGGGGGGGTCAGTACATCCCGGGCTGTCCAGGTGGTTCTGAGTCCAACTGTGGTCCAGGTGCTCAGCGTTTCCCAGGCTTGCCCCTCTTCATCCCTCCCCCTCCTTTCTTCCCAGGGCCTCCCCCAGCCTTCCCTCCCTTGCCCCCAGCCTTCCCTCCCTTCTTGCCCCCACCTCCCCCTCCCTTCCTCCCAGCCCCCCTCCTCTTGTGTTTGGCCGCAGCCTCCTCTCTGTCCTCCTGTCTCATCTGAGCGTTCACGGCCTTGGTGACGTCCAGCTTGGGTCTCTTGGAGTCCAGGACCTTCAGCAGCTCCAGCTGTTTCTGCTTCTCGCTGGAGAAGTCTCCGATCAGGGGCTCGAACTTCCTCCTCTTGCCAGAGTTTTTTGGGGCCTTCTCTTTGGCCAGGCGGTCCTGGAAGAGGCCGGCGGACGCCGTGGAGGTCCTGGCCACGCTCACGGCTTTAGCCAGCTCGTCTCTGGACTGCTGGGCCTTGGGGAGCAGGCCCACCCCGGGCACCTTGAGCTTCTGCGCCCTGGCGATGTTCCTCAGCCTGTTCAGCTCGTTCTTGGCCACGCGCTCCTTCTTGGCTTTGACGCGCTTGGAGAACTGGTCCTCGTTCGGGTCTGCGGTCTCCGGCACCTCGATCAGCCACTCCTTGGTGTTGTCCTTGGCTCTCTTGTAGCCCCAGCGCCTCCTCCACTCCTTCGCGGTTTCATCCCAGACCAGATTGGTCTTCTTCTTCTTCTGTATGCCTTTCAGTTTGGCGAACTGCTCCCACTTGGTCGGAGGTCTGGGTTTCGGAGGGGCCTTCTCCCTCGGCAGCCGGGTGGTCGGTTCCGGTAGCTTGGCTACTATCACCTCATCCACCCGCTCCGTCTGCAGCTTCCATATCTCGTTGATGAGGAGCTGAGTGTTGTCACGAGCTAAGCCCCGCAGGAAGTCCTCCTTCTTCTGTCCTCTGAAGTCCCGGGACTCGATTCGGTTTTTGTCACAAGCGAGCAGGTTCCCGACGTCGAAGTCCAGGTCTAGGTCCTTGTGGACGGTGATACTTCTCAGTTTTTCAGCCTCTTCTTGCTCGGCTTTAGCTAACAGCTCCTCCACACTGCACGCGGCCATGTTGGTGAACGTTGTCTTGCACGTGCGAATCGGAAAAACAGAATAATCCACTTCCGGTTCAAAGTTACCGTGTTATTCTACTCCTGACCACAAGGTGGCGGTGTTGATTAGTTTTTCCTCTTACCATACCATACCATACCAATTTATTTATATAGCACTTAAAACAGCAACAAGGCCAACCAAAGTGCTGTACAAAAGAACACAAACATGCACAGCGGACAGGAAAACATAAAATAGAAATACAGATACAAATAGCAGCAGAAGCTAACTAAAATGGCCAACAGAGTAGAGAACAGACCGGACCAAAACAAATTGTACAAATCTTACAACACAAACATACATAGAAAAAAACAAGCTTTGTTTAAAATAAATTTGCTTTGTAATGTTTACACACAGTGGATATTTCTCATCTTTTTTATGCACAATGACACCAAGTAAGAGCTACAATTTAAAAACTAAACTCGGGAAGCCAACTTTCTGTTAGCAAAATATCTCATGAACAACTGGAGAGATTTTAATGAAAGTAATCATTAGTGTACATCTACAATCAATTAACTAAAAGTGAATAAAATTCAAAATGACTGCCACAACTAAAGATTTCTACAACTTAGTTTTACAGATACTGAGCTAAAATTTAAATTTGTATTAGCTGAGAGTGATCCACAACACTTTGTGTGCGATATATCACGAGAATGCACCTAAATTTATTTTCAAGATATGACAAAAACAAAACTCTAGTTTATTTCCCTTCCTTGGTGTAAAAAATATAGAAAAATGGGAAGATAAACAATTTAGCAAGTGCTCAAAATGATTTGTGCAAACCCACTCTTGCTAAAATTTTTTCAATAAAGTTGCCAAACTAGTTCATTTTTTTACAATTTTCTTTAAAACATTATTTACAACTGAAATCATTTTTTAAAGTCTTCTTGAGCTGAGACTCCTAAAATGCCTGCGCATGCATCATTTTAAAGTTCCAGCGTTGTGTTAAACTTTATAACCGGATTGCTTCAAGTGTTTTCATGTGAGATTTAATCCCCTGAATTATTAATATCACATCCCGTCTCTCTCTCCCTCCATTGCATTGTGTACGGTTTTCTCCCAAAGATCCGGTGCTATAATAACTCTATTTTTATCCTCATCTCCTCTAATTTGGAGGAGGGAGGGTTTGGGTGGGGGTTCTACAACAATCAGTTGCTCAAAGACGACGGTGTTATTATTTTGGGCTCCAGTAATTACATTCATCGCCACACTTGCCATGTGAACACTACCTCTCTGCCAGGCACAGAGATAAGGTCACAAGTGATGCCGTGTTTGGAAATGTGAGGAGGAAAAGCGTAATTAGTGGCCCAAAGTCCCAGTTGTGATTAAGTGAGGGGCTGTAAGGTCCTCGGTGACGTGGTCATGTATCTCCCACCATCGCCCAATTTAAACAGGGTCCTCTTGTTAGCTCTCTGGCCTCGTCGGCTGGTGTCACTTCTCGCTGACTTTTGATCCCGAGGTGGAATTTAGCCAAACAGGATTGCTTTTTTATGGTTCGTCATTGCTGAAAGGATGCACGACGCAGGCCGGATCAGGTTTTCTATGAGCTGGGACCATGAAGCAAAGGCATTCCTACTTTCTTTGTGCACATCTTCAGAGCTTTAAAACCTGCTTTTAGCGGATAAGACTGTGAAAGAGATCTCTTCACCACATATTACTGCTTTCAATAGCATGCAACTTCTATATTTTCAAATGGGCTGAAGAGTTCAAACCTCCTTTATTTTTTCCCAGGGTGTTCCAAGGAAGAGGGCATTTTGGACTTAGAGCTGTTTGCCTTTAGGTTACCTGAGCTACCATAAATAAAGAGTATTTCTACTTTAATATAAGTACAAACACCACAGAAAAAAGTACTGAAACAGGCTTCTACTTGCAGTTTGCAGCTTTTGTCCAAATTTAGCGACATCTGGTACTTTCGTTTGTTTCTCATTCAAACTTTGTTTGTGTTTTTGTTCATTGATTTAAAATGAGGAAACAAAGATGTCATTTTTAATATTCAAGTTATTTTGGTCGGTCAAATATTTGCATCGTTTGATAAAAAAAAGAGAAATAAATGGAAAATTGGTAGTGTGGATTTTATCCACTAAGTTTTTTCCTCATGTAATCTTTAGAACAGATTTTACATTGCTTGACACATTTTGGTCTAACAGTACAATATAATATGTCTAGTTTTGTTTTTAACTTCTTGACTGGATAATAAGACAAGAAATATTCATAAAATATTAGCAACAATCGCAAAACTCAGATACTTTCTCTGTTTGACGTCATAAAATACATTTTGGTGCAGGGAGGATGTGCAAAAACACGAATACAAAAGTAATTTTTCTTCTGTACCATAAAAAAAATCTAAAGCAATTGAAATCTAGGCAATAAGGTTGGATTATTGTCATCCATCCTCATTATGGAAGACACCCTGTCATGTAACAGAATTACAGATATGTATAATATTTAAGCATCTTTTTATGAATGAATTCAAGGAGTGATTAGCTCACCAAGCAAGGATGAACCTCTAACATGTAGTTTGGATTATTCAAAGGAAACTGGTTCAAGCTGCACGTTTTAGCAATATAAACATAAAAGAGTTAATTTATCTGTTTTATTTTAAGCTTTTCCTGCTTCTTTTGGTGCCGTACAACAATCCAGTCCAAGTTAAAATGCTGGTTATTTCAAAACTAAATTTAGATGATACTGGTAGTTCATAAACTGCATGAAAGAGAGAGAGAGAAAATATTCAGCCATGCAAAAACTAGCTTGAGGCTCGAAACCTCCTTCCTCTTCCAAAAGTTGACCTGTTAGCATCAAAGAGGAGACGAGAGCGCTGCAGGCCTCTCACACAGGAGAGCACAATAATCTCATCAGCACCATCCTGGAAGAAATCAGACATGATTAGCTGCTGACAGTTTGCTTGTGTATTTTTAGTCGTCGAGATATTACATAAAATTGTTTGACCTACTTGGCTTGAGGGCAGTGAAGGTATTTTTATATGTTTCGTCAAGACTGAGGCGTTTGGCACGTCCTCAAAGAGGACAGCTTGTGTTTCCAACAAGGCTACAGCTGAAACCAGATGTTTACATACACTGTATGGAAGTGCACATAATCACTTTTTTTTTTCTCACCGTCTTGACATTTTGTCTTGGTTTAGTAAAGATCAGGGTTTCCAAAATTATTTTATTTGCTATATGCCTGAAAAATAAGATAATGATTTTATTAGAATTTTCTTCAAAGTCAAAGATTTAGCTAAACTAAAATAACTTAACAGTTTGGTAAAAGCCCGGGTGATGATTGAATGGATTTGAACGCTTTTGATTAGTTAGTTGACTACTTTTGAGTTAAATGGTGGCACATCTGTGGATGCACAGTGCAGTGTTTTTCAAAGTGGGGGCCGCGGCCCCCTGGGGGCCGCCAGGGGGTGCCAAAGGATCCCCAGAAGGCTGGAGAGAAGATTTTTTTAAAAAGCAAAAAAATAAAAATAAATAATAATAATAATAATAATAATAGCTCACTAGGGCAATCTGTATCTGTCATTTCCAGATAAACACGCTTGAGAGAGAGGTTAGATTTCTTTTGTTTTGTTCTTCTGGTCAATATTTTGTTGAAAAGTTGTTGTTTTTTTTCAATTGGAATATAATACAGTGTTTAAAACATGTTAGTTAATAACATTATAGTGAATAAAAGGTAAAACGTTCAAAAAGTTTATGTTTCTTTACCAGTTTTGTAGCATTATTTGTGGGTTTGCGAGGGGGCCTCGGCCAGAAGCTAATGCTGTTTGGGGGGGCCATTGCATGGAAAAGTTTGGGAACCCCTGAGTTAAGGCACAGTGTATTCTATGTGTGACATCGAGGGAAAAATCAAAAGAAAATAGCCAAGACGTCAGGAAGGGAACTGTCGATCCTACCTGCTCTGGTTCATCCTTGGTACAATTTCTGGATACCTGACGGCGCCACTGTTCTGTCCTTTTCTCCATACTTTGTGATCTTTGACTGAAGTCACAACTAATAATGTACTAACTGACCTCAGTTTGGAGAAATAAATGTAAATTTTTAACAAGATTTATGAGCTGAAGACAAGTCCAAGCACCTCCATGACGAGTTGTCATCCTAAACCTATTTCAGTCTCACAAATTTTACAATGGTCCACGTGAACACACGTTTTAAAACCTTTACATCATTGTCAGTTTCATATTAAACGCATGAAGGTCTTTGGCTATTTGTGAGAGCAAACACCAGCAGCAGCTGGCACTTGCTGCGCAGCCCGAGGCACTTCTACGGAAAATAACTATTATAAAATACTTTTTTTTGGTTTTGTTTATGTTTCATTTTAAGACAGCAACAATCCACTTCCTGTTAGCTTGTTGATCAGGTCAGAATTAAACTCTATTTCTCCAAACTGAGGTTGTTCCAAAAAGCTATCTACAACAGGTAAGATACTTGCTCATAAACTTTCAAAAGATGTAAGCTATCCTTTTAATGTGTTCGTACCAAGCAACAAATCCAGCAAACATGTAATCTTGTAAACTACATCCTGAACTTCCTGTTTTCATTCCTCTGGAGAGCCGAACGTTCCCAGAGAGCTCAGCTGGCAGACAGCTGACGTCAGAGCTGTTGTTGAGCTAAGTTTTGGGATAGAAACACCATTTGGCAAAGAGCGATACCACCCAGCTACCTGCTGCTCCCAGACTACTGCCCACACTCCACAGTGACTCTTACTTTGAAAGGCCTCACCTCATGAACTCTTATTTTGTCTTTTAGAAGTCTCTTCAGAACCGGTGTATTTACTTGGCTGCACTTTTTCAATTAAAATGTAAAAAGAGGGCAATGTGTATTAGCGGTTCTCTTGTTGTAGCAAATGTTACCCAGTTTTGTAAAGCCAGTAGACAGTGGGAGAGATTGTTCATGGATTTCCCATTTCTCTCTCTGTCCAGTTGACTCAAGTGAAACAGCCCAGCTACCTAAAACCTGGCCAGCTTCCTAGACCCAGCATGACACAGAG